TTGTCTCTCTCTCTCTCTCTCTCTCTCTCTCTCTCTCTCTCTCTCTCTCTCACGAGAAACACTGTTTTCTTATTCATTCTATTGAGCTTCATACCTTTTCCTTCTTCTTTCTCGCTTGTTCTTGTTTTTCGTATTGGTGAGCTGTCTTTTTCAGAGTATAGGCAACTCATGCTCGCTTGCATATCTTTGTGGGTCTTCAATTGAGTTTCCATTCTAAACATTGATAAGAGAAAACGAAAAACCAGAAGAAATGGCTTCTTTAATCCCACTAAAACAATCCTATGGGGTCTATTTCATGCCGAATTCTCATAATACACATGATTTGTTACCTTCCAAATGCTCCATTGGGGATGCTACGTATAGGGTTTTTTGCTCTGTTCTTCACAGTAAGAGAAAGCTCGAAAAAACCATAAAGATAGAGAGAGTTCATGTGAAAGCTCTTTGGAAAGCTCAAACAGTGACCAGTAATGGGTTTTCTCAATTGGAAGAGCTTCCCGTTAGCTTTTCCAGGAGCCCCAATGAATCTTTCAATAGTGGAAGCTTCTCCACCTCTGTTACCTCTCCGGAGTTCGATGACTTCGAGAGTAACGACCTTCTCAAACGCCACGTAAGGAATGGTGAATTGGAGGAAGCTTTAGTTTTCCTTGAAAATATGGCGAGAAATGGAGAAATTCCGGATATTATACCCTGCACAAGCCTCATCAGAGGCTTCTGCAAAATTGGTAAGACCAAGAAAGGAACTCGAGTCATGGAAATAATACATGAATCAGGTGCAGTTCCTGATGTTATCACATATAATGTTCTTATAAGTGGGTATTGTAAATCAGGAGAAGTAGATAACGCCCTTCTAGTTTTAGAGCGAATGAGTTGCTCTCCTGATGTTGTAACCTATAATACGATTCTTCGAAGCTTATGTGATGAGGGGAAGCTTAAACAAGCCATGGAAGTGCTTGATCGAATGATGAATAGAGGTTGTTTCCCTGATGTTATCACTTATACCATTCTTATTGAAGCCACTTGCAAGGAGAGTGGAGTTGGGCAAGCAATGAAGTTGCTTGATGAGATGAGGAGCAAAGGGTGCAAGCCTGATGTTGTGACTTATAACGTTCTCATCAATGGGATTTGCAAAGAAGGAAAACTCAATGAAGCCATAAAGTTCCTCAATAGCATGCCTTCTTACGGTTGTCGGCCCAATGTGATCACCCATAACATAATTTTGAGGAGTATGTGCAGCACAGGTAGATGGATGGATGCTGAGAAGCTACTCTCTGAAATGATCGAGAATGGTTGCTCGCCAAGTGTAGTGACTTTCAATATTTTGATTAATTTTTTATGTAGGAAGGGGCTTATGAGACGAGCTATTGATGTTTTGGAGAGGATGCCTGAGCATGGTTGCACCCCTAATTCATTGAGTTACAACCCCATTCTTCATGGGTTTTGCAAAGAGAAGAACATGGATCGAGTAATTGAGTATTTGGAGGTGATGGTATTGAGAGGGTGTTTTCCTGACATAGTCACATACAATACATTGCTTACCGCCTTGTGCAAGGATGGGAAGGTTGATGCTGCCTTAGAAATACTTAGGCAGTTAAGGAGTAAAGGTTGCTCGCCTGTGCTGATTACTTATAACACGGTGATTGATGGGTTGTCAAAGATGGGGAAGACAGAAGAGGCGATTGAACTTCAAATGAGATGGTAGCTAAGGGCCTTCATCCTGATGTAATTACTTATTCGTCTTTAGTTTCGGGGCTTAGCCGTGAAGGCAAAGTGGACAAAGCAATTGAGTTCTTTTTTGAGATGGAAGGTAAGGGTATCGGGCCCAATGCCATCACGTACAATGCCCTTATCTTGGGGCTATGTAAGGCACAAAGGACAGGTCAGGCTATCGATTTTCTGGCTCACATGGTTTCCAAAGGATGCAAGCCCACTGAGTCAACATACACTATTCTTATTGAGGGTGTTGCAAATGAAGGGAGGCCTAAGGAGGCTTTGAATTTATTGAACGAGCTTTGTGAGAGAGGAGTTGTTAAAAGAAGCTCCGCACAAAATGTAGCAGTCAACATGTAATGTCTAGACGTCCCCCCATATGTACTGAGATGTGAGGCATGTTCTTGAATTTTGTTACTTCTAGTTCTTATTATAGGTATTATAGATGACTTGTATTTTGTAGCTAGCTCATGAACGTGCCTATGGATTGGCAATTTGGCATCCAATAGTCTCATCTGATTCGACATTGAAAGTTTTGAGAAGTATTTGCGGTACACTAGACTTTTATAACTTTGTATTGAGTTTCAAATCTAGCTTTAAAGGACATTTATAAAGCTCTTCTGGATTAATACAGTGTATCGTGTTCTTCTTAGAATATTAACGATAAGATGTTCTTGATTTTATTTTATTTTTTAATATGATACATTGTGCACATGCACAAACTCTTCATGATTTGGTGAACTGATTCTTTTTTTCATTGGTGATACTGGCTTTTAGGCAAAGGCACAGAGCAAATCATGGAATTAAACCAATGCTTCTTTGAGATTGTTGAGCTGCTAGCAACAAACTTATTTGGTTTATTTGTTGAAGATACATTGAGTAAAACGGGGAATAAGCTTGCATATTTTTAATGGTTTTTTACTTTTCTGTCTGCTGATGGTCTCTTGAGTATATTCCAAAGGACACCTTTTATTTCTTGGCATAAAAAACATTGAACAGTTGCTTTTGATTGGTTACAGGATTTTATACTATGAGACCATTTACTTTTAGTACAAGGAGGTCACAATGTTTTTTAGCCATTGGATGTAAAACCAAATAAATTGAAATGTGTCACAACATTCGAGAAATTTTATTTTGGACATTATGCCCAACCAATGACATCCTCAACTGCTCGATTTCATATCCAATGATCAATAATGATTGTGACGACTTGTATAAAAAATAATTGTTTCTCTCTTGAAGTTTATAGAGGGTAAATTTTCTTGTCTATTGGTCCTTTTGACATTGTCTATATATGATGTATCAAAATATTTATTAATGTTTAAGTTGTCATTTACTCATTATTTGCCTGGAAATCGAAGATCAGAGAAACCACCAGATTGTATATTCCTCTTGTGGATTTTTTTTATTTCAAATTCATTTGAGTGACTGCACAAAATCTGAACTGCTGCTAGGTGCCCACCATATAAGCTTTATATTTTCTGCTCTTTCTTTTTTACTGGTTATTGAAGAAAAAGCAGTATTTCTGATATGGATTTCAAAGATTTCTACAGTGAGCCATGCATCACGGGCAGAAAGAATCGCTTGGCTGGGTTAGCTTTTAACTTCGCATGGTGCTGTGAACTAAGCATGAATTTTGTTGGCACGAATTTCTTTGTGCTTGCTTCCGATTTGTTGCAGTCCATGGGCTGTTGACCTCAACTCACAACCATTGTTTGCTAAGTCTAGAGGACTTTTTTCTTATAAAAATAACTAAAAAATGTAGAGGTCCACATTATACCCTGGTAATCATTGTGCCTTCTCTCCTGTCAGCAAATTACACTTCTATGTATGTAGTTCTATATGTTGCATTCAATCTCATTATGTTTCATCCGAAGCATCATTATAATAACAAGGCGTTCTGGTACCTGGTACCTGGTAGGAAAAGAGAAATGAAATAAAATCAGATTCACATAGTCTGCACATTCAATTATACAATGAGAAATATGAATAGGGATATTTGTGAACTATATATTGTGGAGACTGAATTCTTGAAACCAAATTCAGAAGGCCATTGACAAGATTTATATTTAAGAGGATGGAAGTTGATGGACCACCAAATGCCAATGAAGTGCCTAGATTCTGGACTGATTTGGCCACCCACAGAGTTGGAGATTTATTAGAAAAGTAAGTGACCACATCTGCGCCTTTTGTAAATCTGATCATCTTATTTACTTTTAAGAAACTGCTATTTTGTCTGCTATGCTCATCAATGAAACATTGTGACACTTTAATAAATTGACTGCAATGGAATCAGAGAGGGCCCTCATACATTGAATGTCTGATATGCTAAATTATTGATTTTTGCTGCTCTCTTATAGAAAACATTACAGGTTCATCAACAAATAAACTAGTACATTTCATTATCATCGTCATCAGAACCTTTACCCAACTAATTGGCGTCGGCCAAAATAAACTAGTACATTTTCTCTTCATAAATGAAGTGACATTTTATTTTGGGCATCGAAGTGGCTACTGCCAAATAATGTTGTTTGGCTTATATGACAGATGAAACGAAGTATTACATAGCAAAAATTTAACTAGATTGTGTGCCAAGGTAGTTTGGGTGAGGCCACTCCCTGTTAGTGAACCTAGGCATTTCAGCAAGTGCCTTAGCACCCACCACATGCACCTAGGTGGCCGAGATTTTCTGGTTCATATTTGGCCTAAATATGTATGTGAATAGCAAATATTAATCTCTCTGCCCCTGTTTGGTTTGGACCAAATTTCAGTAATGGGGCCACCTTTACCCTTCACCCATTTGGTAGTGAAAAACAGCCTGCTTGATCCTCTCCATATTCATGGGTGACGGACTTTTGGACCCAAGTTCTCAAAGAAACACCGGACACCCACAGGGCTAAAAGAAACAGAACTTGTTTTTCATTGAATTAACAAATAATTCCATCCCTTCAGTAGACTAGTTCCAAATGCGGCCTATAATAAATTACTCGCTAACCATAAATCGATAAACTACTGCTCATATATGATTATATAATTGCTACTATATGCATATTCATTGGATAAATATATAGTTACTAATGTTAATATGCACGTTATTATGTATAGCCATATCTAATGTATTAATTGATATGTGAAGATATATTATAATTTACAATTGATCATGTAAGCCAACCAGCCTTTGACCTATGAAACAGTATAAGCCCAACGGCCAAAATTGAAGTATCCAGAAATGGATGGTCAGATTTGCGTGGTCGAAACATTTTTCCACTAGAAAAAGTAGAAGCCCCATGTACCCTAAAATTCGTGGGCGTATCTCATCTTGGTCCTCCAAGTAAATTTCTTTTTAAAAAACTACACTCTAGAAATGTTGGGACAACTATATGTATAATTCATATTTTAAATTTTATTTTGTTATTTATTTTATTAAAGGGTTTTTCTAATGGTAACATCCTATAAAATCCTATAGGTTACATTTAGAAAGGGGTGTGAACCGTTAAATTTGACATTGTTGCCCTTTTAATTATGGAAAATTGTCTTTTGTGGGATGGACTGCATGACTACATATTCCAAAAAGTGTAAAGCATCCATCTTAAAGATAGATGCAGTTAGGTGTTCCATCTAAAAACAATGGAAACTAATGGTCCAAATGTTTTCTTTCTAGAATTATTATTTCTAGTAATTAAAATTTACTTATTTTTTTCATATTCATGATCTCCATGTTAGAGATTACATTTCCTTAAAAATTAAGTCCAAAAATCCATATCAAAAATAGATTTATTAATAGGCCCGCATTTCTACATAGAAACCGGGTCCTTTAATTATTCAATATCTTTAAAATGAATAATGATAGCTTTTGTCATTACAGAGAGTATTGTTGAAATTTTCACTAAACGACAAGAGTAATGCACAAAATACATAATATCAACTTCATACATACATACACTACCAAGGTTTACAATCTTAGCATATCTTCCCCTTAGAGTAACTGTCTTTTCATGGAGCCAGCTGTTGTTAAAAGTTTCAAACTTCTTTCTATTTTGTTACTAGAGGCCTTCTCCTGGATTTCTTGATGCAAAGGCCCAACCGCAGATACTTAATCAACCCTCCTTAACCCTAAAATCCATCCTGCACATGATCTCTTTGATTCTCGCAATTTCATGACTTACTTCAATAAGAGCAAAGCCAAGTAAATGTGTCCATGCCAGTCCCATAACCTTGCATTTGGTTCCAGCAACATATCAATTTGCTGTGATTGCTTCTTGGTGTTTCAAGTGCTAAGACTGGCACATTAATTGCATTAACGCTGTGCTTGAATGGCAATTCTGCAATGATTTTCCCGAAATGATTCCTTAGAGAAAATGTTGTCTTCACACCCCACCACACTCACTGCCCAAGACACTGACCAGTGATTGTGGTAAAAAGTTTCTAGCCCAGTAACCATATGTCAACATCCATGGTGACAATGAGCCAATAAGATTGGAAGAAATGTAACCTTGATTGTGGTGTCCAACAGTAATGGCAGCTTAAGTTATGAGGATTTCTTTCTATCGCTTTTCTACAAGATTTTTCTAGTATATTCATGAAACCTCACTAGAAATGCATTGTCATGTTGGATGGCCATGATTTATTTAGCTGAAGGGTTTTCTTCAATAATATGTTGGTTGTTTGACAAATTTGTGTGTTGAAAAAGCTTTTAGAACAACCTTTCAAAAACGAATTTTGGATTTAGACTTAAATGAGAGAGGGAAGGGGGGTTATGCTTGCATGCATAGGAGAGGGCATGGTTCAGCCATTGGTGTGGTTGCAACAGAATGTATGGGTTCATGATTTCCCTTTTGCTGCAGTAACCACCACACAGATTTTTTCGTTTGCTGCCATTGTGCATTTGCTACCGTTCACTTGTCGTTGTGTATGGTTTGATTGCGACCTCTGTGCTCCATTTGCTTGTGCTCTGAACCATCAAATGTGTGGCACACCTCTTATTCGGCTGCCAACCATTGTTATTGCACAACCACATGCAGTCACTACACATGCAATAGACTCCACATGTTTAACGCTTTCATTAAAGCCTTTGCTTCTTTATAAAAAGGACATTATTTTGTTGATTTGGGGGAACTCTCGGTTATCGCACTTCTCAACCTATGCCACCATTATTGTCTTGACTGCCCCTTGAATATGTTTTTCCTTTGTTTTTTTTAAATAAACATACGAGTATACATGATGAGCATGTTGAGAGTGGATGAGTGGCAACAAAGAAATGATAGAACTCAGAATGAATATCTCTGAGGGAACTTAGGAGTGGCTCTAATAGGTTATAAGACGAGGGAAAATAGACTCAGGTAGTCTAGCCATATGTAGTATCGACCTGAAACAATACTCATTAGGAGGTGCGATTTGATTCAAGTGGAAGCCTCTAAAAGGGAAAGGAGAAGGCCTAAAAGGATATGGATGGCAGTAGCGAGAATATATACGGTGACTTATAGTCTGACAAAGGGTATGGCCATTTATAGAGCAAAATGGCGGAATGGGATTCATGTTGGCGATCCCAAATTGTTGGGATAAAGTTCGGATGGTGATGATAATGACACAAATAAAAAATACAAAAAACAAGCTAGTG